GGTCTCTCTGTCAGAGTATTTTTTTGTGGTGCTGGGCCAGAATGAAGTTCCAAGGCCTTCTGATGCCTTGCAGTGAGAGAAGAAAGAGTCCATCCATTGTTGGATCCATCCATTGACTTATCCATCCATCCATCCATCCATCCATCCATCCATCCATCCATCCATCATCCATCCATCCATCCATCCATCCATCCATCCATCCATCCATCCATCATCCATCATCCATCCATCCCTGTAAAACGTGTTCCCACTTCCAATTTTTATGGGAATTGAGGAACATGATGCACGTGTGACCTCAAGTGTTTCCTTCCTCTTTCAGGGTTTGTTTGTTTTGCTGTTTCATGGCAGTTTTTGGGTTGGGTTGGCTTGGTGTTTGTTTTGTTTTTGCTTGTAGTTTTGGGAGTTTTGTTTGTTTGGTTGGTTTTTTTGGTTTTGTTTGATCGTTTTTGTTTGGTTTTTTTTTTGTTTGTTTGTTTGTGTATTTTGGTTTTCTGTTGGGGTTTTGTTTGGTTTTTTGTTTGTTGGTTTGGATTCTTGTTTGCTTGGGGGTTTTGTTTGTGTTTTTGTTTGGCTTTTTGGTTTTTGTTTGTTTGGGGGTTTTTGTTTGTTTGTTTGTTTGGGGGGTTGGAATTGAGGATTTTTTTTTGGTTGTGTTTTTTTGGGTTTTTGTCCATGGCACCAAGACACCCCTGGTGCCAGCAGGGAGGATGACTCTGTTTCCTGGGAACAAACGGGAGGCAGCCAGCCCATGGAAAGTTGTTTTCCCTTGGTTTTTCTTTTCTTCCCATTGCTTTGTGTTTGCGGGGTTGTGGAAGTTTTGTTTCTTTGTTATTTTGTTTGAGGGGGGGTTTGATCCAGGTTCTGCTTGGAAAATCCAGCTGGGCAATTAGCTGGCAATGGCTGCTTCCCAATTAATTAGGGATCCTGCCAGAGAGCTGGAGCAGGAGCCCATGGAGAGAGAAAGGCAGGAAAATGTGTCTGTGCTGGACCTCAGAAAATCCTGGGATAAGGAGAGAAACCCTCTCTGGGCAAATTCCTGAGTGCTGGTGCTGGACAAAACCCAGGGGAAAAGGCCTTGGGAGATTGGGTTTTAGTGGGATTGGAATTGGCTCCTTTAGGAAAAAGGCTTTGGGAATTTGGGATTTAATGGGATTGGGATTGGCTCCTTTAGGGAAAAGGCTTTGGGAGTCTGGTTTTTAATGGGATTGGGATTGGCTCCTTTAGGGAAAAGATTTTGGAAGCCTGGTTTTTAATGGGATTGGGATTGGCTCCTTTAGGGCTGATCCCACAAAGGCTGAGTCTGGCTCCTTTTTTAAGATCTGTTTTGGGTTTAGGCTGTTCCCTGTTAATCTTTGGCTCTTCGTGTGCCACATCCCAGCCTTGGTTCTACTCCCCTGTTCCTCAAAGGTGGGGTTGTTGTTCTGCCTTGGAATTCCAATTGGAATGCTCTTTCCCACACCTGTGGGAGCAGCAGTGGCTGCCTTTGGAGGGAGCTGCCACAGAGCTGCTTTTTGTGCTCCTGATTTTCTCCAGGAAAATGCCTTTTCCCCCTCTCCCTCGGGGTTTGCTGGGTTTGGGGGCTCTCTCTTCACTGTTCATGGAGATTTCTTCCTCCTCTGGGTCTCGATTCCCACAGGCTGGGGAGGAGCAGCCATCAAAGAGCAGTCATCAAATCCATGATTTCCTTTCCTACCTGCGGATATTGTGATCTCAGAGCTCTCAGTGTTGTGTTTGAATGGATTTTATCTTTAGTAATTTGATATTTACTGGATTACTGATTCCAGTCCCATCCCAGTGTTGTTCTGAATTCATGGAATCCAGACCTGCTCTGGAAAATGACATCAAGGCCACAGTTTCCTTTCCTGCTCAGGATATTGTGCTCTCAGAGCTCTCAGTGCTGTGTTTAATGGGGTTTGTGTTTAATCACTTCATATTTACTGAATTATTGATCCCAGTCCCACCTCAGTGCTGTTCTCAACTCACTGGGGTTTTATCAGGTTATGAAGAAAAGCTGATTCCTTGCTTTGCACCATCACAGCCCTCCTTTCCTGGTACAGGGTGAGTGGATAATTCAGATCATTCCCTGTATCCCACCCCTCCAGATGGCCCCAGTCCCCTCAAAATCAGCTTTTTTGGTTCCCTGGGGGGTTGCAGCCTCCCCAGAGGGTTTTTCCCCAAAGCCTGAGGAAGGAAGAGGCTCCTTGTGCTGGGGAGAGGAAGTTCTGGCCAGAGCTTCTTTGCACACTGAAAGTTTCCCATCAGCAAAGCTCATTTCTGAGGAGATTTAAAGAACAGACAGCAGGGGAATTGAAAATCCCTTTTATATCAATTTAAATGAATTTAAATTGCATTTAAATGAACTCTGTCAGCAGAGGGAGGATGGGAGGGGCGGTGCTGCTGCTGCCACCTGCCCAGATGTGGCTCAGGAAGGTTTTCAACAAACCTGGAATTGTTCCAGAGCTTCTCAGTGACATTTTTAGTCCTTTCTGGAGCTGGGGGTAGATTTGTGTCCCTTTAGCCTGGGGGGAATCTTTGCATTTCCCCCTAAACACAGCAAATGTCCAAATTCTGATAAAGTTACCATTGTCAGGGTCACCTGCCTGAAAAACAGGGACAGGTTTCTCTGCCTTGACTTCTTTAGGAATCATTTTATCCTTTTGGCAACAACTCCCCCCTCCACCAAAGAAAAAACAAAACAAAAAGCCAAAAAATCCCAAAACAAACAAAAAGCAAAACAAAAAAATAGATTTAATTAATAAATATTTACTGTAATAAAGAATATCCCCTTATAGAAAGGGAATAAAGAATGATTTGGGTCTGCCCAAGCACTGAAATCTTCCCTCACCAAAGGGGCACCAAAGCTCCAGGTGAACACCCAGAGCTGGGGGAGATGGAGATGCATTTTCCTGGGGAAAAAAGGGTGATATGGAGCAGTTAAGGATTTCAGAGCAGCTGGAATGTGACTGGGATTCTACAGGCACGATTCCCAGAGTTCTTGAGAAAACAGTGGGGGAGTGGTGTATAAAACAATTAGGCACTGGATTTATTCATAGTTGCATGGAATATCCTCAGTTGGAAGGGACCCCAAGGACCATCAGTGCTATGCACCTATGGGAAGGATCAGCTGTTTAAAAAAAAAGACAGAAAAATTAAAACTTTGGGTTTTTTCTAGCAGAATTAAACCCTTTCTTGAAGCACTCAGAAAATGAAGAACCCAAACTGGCCAGTGCTGATTTAAACTCAGGTGAAACAGAAGGAAAGGAGCTGGAGGGAGCTCTGGGAAAGGTTGTGCAGAGACTGATAAAAAAAAAGCAGCAGAGTTTTGCCTCTGGAGAGGTGAATCAGCAGCAGGGCAGGCTGTGATTGCAGGAGGGAAAATTGCTTCCAGGCAAAGGTAGAGCAGGAACTCTGTGGGTATGAAACATCACCCTCAAAACAAAAGCAGCTGCCAAAAATCACCTTAAACCCCCTCACATGGCATTTTGAGGTGTCACTTGCATCCCACAGCTGCAGGGTGGGGGAAGAGATCCCCCCCAACCTTCCCTGGGGTGAAAATTCCTGCTCTTCTCTGAGAGGTTCTGAAGATCCTTCAGCATTTCACTGCTTGTTCCTTCATCTGCCTTCCAGCCTCTAAATAATTTCCAGCTCAGGGAAATTTTGATATGAAATTTGGCTCAGAGCTAAGAGCCAAAAGCCCTCTGGGTTTTTTAATACTTCATTTTGTAGCCTGGGATATTAAACATTTCAGGCCTTGGTTCCCTCAAGCTCACAACCTACAGCACCTGGTGGATACAGGAACTTCAAAGAGAGATGAAAAATGGGTGTAAAAAGAGAAAAGAGGGTTAATTCCAGCTGCATGGCAGTAATTCCTGCACAGACACAATTCTTTGTGCCAGGTTGAACCCTCTCTTAGGGGTGTGATGGAGCTGGGACATCTTTTGGTGACGTGGTGATTCCTTTTATTTTTTTTATCCTTTTCAGCTGATATCACCACCAGTTTCATGCTGATCCTCATGTTGTTCGTCATCAGCTTCCACCTCCTGCTCGGGGTGCTCAAGGTATGTTTCCCACAAATGACCCTCAGGGTCTGGATGGTGCTCACTGGAATGGTGGTCAAAAAAAGCAGGAAAACCACCCAGAATCACACAGGAAAAAAGGCAGATAAAAATCACAGAACCACAGAATCACACAGGAAAAAAGGCAAATTAAAAATGTCTCCTGGTCCCAGAGGGAGAGAGGGACTGGTTTGAAGCCTCAGGTTCCTGTGAAAAGCTTCAAACACCCAGATTTACCAAATCTGGGCATAATTTCCATCGGAGTTGCATTTGAAGCTGCTAAATAAAGGAGATTTTATGATTTAGAAAGGTTTTCTTGCCTCATTTCCTTGCCCTGTTGCAACTCAGGTCCCATGAGAGAACTGTCACTGCCGTGCTGCAGCTGGGACTCATCTCCCAGTGCAGGAGGAGGAATGACCAGGCCTGGGGCTGGAGACCCCAGGAATCTGATGGCAGAGCTCTAAGCATTAAACCCCACCCAAATAACCCAGTTCTCCCTCTGCAGAGGTGAATTTCAGGGACAGCTGGATGTCACCTCTGATAGGAAGTGCTAATGTCACAGAGTGAGAATTCACAGAAATTTTCCAAAGGGGTGAAAAAAGTCAGCATTGATGCCCTGTTTTCTCTGGATCAGTGGTCATTGAAATCAGAAATTCCAGGGAAGTGTTAATTCTTGGAGCACCATCGAAGGCGCTCCATTCCAGGTGTTGCCAGCTGGTCTCATTTCCCACTTGGAATGGAAATAACCATTAAATATTGTCGCACTACGACACGAAATAACTCACACACCCTCTCTAAGATCAAAAGAGTAAATGGAAGTAACTTTTATTTCTGATTTCATAATACATAGAATTATAAAAGTGACAGTGGATTGGAAGAAGAAATTGCCACTTCTCCAACCACACTGGTCAAACCAACAGTCTATCAATTCTCTTCTCCCACACAGAAGAATGCAAAACAATCATTATTTACATGAACAGTGTGTGAGAACTCCAGTAGAAATATGTAAACATCAGAAGGCTTTTAAAATAACTTTAAAACTTTTAAAAGTACAGGGTGACGAAATACAATGGTTATATAATAAATAACCATCACTGCTTTTCCTTCTCAGAAGAGGGAGCGGTTCCTGATCCCCTTCTTGGCTCTGCAAGTCATCGATTTCCTCCTGAGCCTCCTGACCATGTTCAGCTCCTACATCCAGGTGCCAGCGATCATCTCGGTGTCCTCCCTGGGCCACACGGTGGGTGACAGCTCCTCCTCCTTGTTGGAACCCTCACTGAGAAATTCAGACTCTGTGCTGCCAGGCACTGACCCCCAGGAGAACTCTGCACTGACCTGAGGCCGTGGAGAGGCTTCCAAAATGGAATGGCAGAACTGGGATTGTGGGGATGGAGTTTGAACAGTAGTGTGTGATATCACAGGGTGGGAAACTCAGAGTTTGAGGGTTTAGAATGTGGTAATATTTATATGAAGCAAAATAGAGGTTGTGGGGTGGAGGCTGGTCTTCCTTCTCCTTCTCCTTCTCCTTCTCCTTCTCCTTCTCCTTCTCCTTCTCCTTCTCCTTCTCCTTCTCCTTCTCCTTCTCCTTCTCCTTCTCCTTCT